GGGTGGCGCAGTCGGTTAAGCGTCCGGCTTCAGCCAGGTCACGATCTCGCGGTCCGTGAGTTCGAGCCCCGCGTCAGGCTCTGGGCTGATGGCTCGGAGCCTGGAGCCTGTTTCCGATTCTGTGTCTCCCTCTCTCTCTGCCCTTCCCCCGTTCATGCTCTGTCTCTCTCTATCCCAAAAATAAATAAAAAAATGTTGAAAAAAAAATTAAAAAAAAAAAAAAAAAAAAAAAAAAAAAAAAAAAAAAAAAAAAAAGAATATGGGCTTACTCGGAAGTGAGGTCTGCAGATGTAGTTAGTTAAAATGCAGTCGTACTGGTGTCCTTACAAGAAGGAGGCTTTGTGATTCTTCACAGAGGCAGGGTCTGGCAGGGGCTCTGGTAATTTTGTCTGTTTTCCAGTTTTCCTGCATCCAGGATGGCCTGGGCTGCTGCTGAGAAGGCAGCCCCATCCCTGGGTCTCAGAATGATTTCAACTGACCCCCTAACCCCTCCCAGGGAAGGGGCTGCTGAAGATTCTGGGGTGGGTAGGAGGAGTTCACAAGGCCAGATGCAGGCCTTGCCCTCCTTCTCCTGATTCTTCTTGGACTTTCCTCCATCTGTCCGCAGCTGGGAATAAGCGACTTTGGTGTCCATGCCTGGACTGAGCTGGTGACCTCCCAGTTGTGGGGGTCACCACTCAGGAACTGCATCATGTGACTGAATTCACCAGGGTCTGCCCTGCCTCTGAATTTGCTGCACACTCATCTAGAGTCTCGCGAGAACCCGTGGGGAGGATCTAGCATGTACTGAGGTCTTGCTAGCCAGGGGTCGGTCCATCAGATGGACCAGCTCCCTGCGTCCACGTAACACAGTGAGTTGTTCTGTTTCGAGAAGGGAAAAACCATTCGGGAACAGACGGATCTAAGTCTGCAGCTGGTAGAGGAGATCTGGGGTACTAACCAAGGTGCCTGGCCATACCTAGCTATGGTAGATTGTAGTAAGAAGACTAAACCACATCTCCCTCCTCCCCTACCTACGATCACTGGGGAACACAGGCCCATCCTCAACAGAAAACTTACTTCAGCAAGTGTCAAAACATTTATCTTCTTGGAAGAAAGTTGAAGGGGCTTCTACCACACCAGCTAGCATCAGAATCCCTGCATCCAGAGCTGTGTCGTATAGACCTAGAAATTTCCCTCTCGATCTACAAGTGTGCCAAGGTAGGCACAGGGCATCCCTGCAGTTTTGCTTGTAATCATGAAAAACTGCAGACACTTAAGCGCCCATCGATTGGGAACTAGTTATTTAAATGATAGACATTCCTTACAATGGTATGTGTTTTGACATCCTGTTCTTTGAAACAGTTTTGCTGAGATATACACACCATAAAATTTAAAGTGCACAGTTTGGGGGTTTTTAGTATAACCACAAAGCTGTGCAACTATCACCACAATCTAACTTTAGAACGTTTTGGGGGCACCTGGGTGGATCAGTAGGTTAAGCGTCGGACTCTTGATTTTGGCTCAGGTCATGTTCCCAGGATTGTGGGATCGAGCCCTGTGTAGGACTGAGTGTGGAGCCTGCTTAAGATTCTCTCTCTCTCTCTCTCTCTCTCTCTGCCCCTTCCCCATTCACACCCTCTCTCTCTAAATAAATAATAAAATAAAATGAGAATAATTATAGTTAAAAAAAAGAGTATTTTTATTACCCCAAAAATGATTCCCATACGTAATGAGATCTTTTGGAGACATTTTTAAAAAATAAGGTCATTATGTATATAAATGAAAATATATTCATAATGGGCAAAAGGTGAAAAAAAAGCACATTGCAGAAATATATAACATATTATCCAGCGGTGCCTGGGTGGCTCAGTCAGTTAAACATCCCACTCTTGGTTTTGGCTCAGGCCATGATCTCATCGTTCATGAGTTCAAGCTCCACGTTGGGCTCGGCACTCACAGCACAGAGCCTGCTTGGGATTTTCTCTATCTCGCTGTCTGCCCCACTCTCCCTCTCTTTCTCTCTCAAGATAAATAAATCAACATTTTAATTTACTTAAATTCTTTTTAATGTTTATTTATTTATTTTGAGAGAGAGAGAAAGAGAGCATGAGCAGAGAGAGAGAGAGAGAGAGAGAGAGAGAGAATCCCAAACAGGCTCTGCGCTGTCAGAGCAGAGCCCAGCAAGGTGGGGCTTGATCTCAAGAACTGTGAGATCATGACCTGAGCCAAAACCAAAAGTCAGACACCTAACTGACTGAGCCAACCAGGTGCCCCAATAAATAAACATTTTTAAAAATAAAATAAAAACTAGCAGTACCTGGGTGACTCAGTTGGTTAAGCATCTGACTTCGGCTCAGGTCATGATCTTGCAGTTCATGAGTTCGAGCTCCATGTCAGGCTCTGTGCTCATGCTCTATCTCTCTCTCTCAAAAATAAACATTAAAAAATTTTTTTAATAAAAAATAAATAAAATAACATGGTAAAAATGGTAAATTAAAAAAACATTATCCTATTTATTTATTATAGTATGTATACTTACATATATATCTTTTTTTTAAAGTTTATTTATTTTGAGAGAGAGAGAGAGAACACAAGTGGTGGAGGGGCAGAGAGTGAGAAAGTGGGGGAGAAAGAATCCCAAGCAGGGATTTTTTTCAGTGCAGAGCCCAATGCAGGGCCTGAACTCATGAACAGCAAGCTTATGACCTAAGCTGAAACTGAGTTGGACGCTTAACCTACTGAGCCACCCAGGCATCCCTATGCTATATTTTTTAGAAATACTTAAAAAAATTTAACGTTTATTTTTGAGAGAGAGAGAGAGAGAGAGAGAGCGAGAGAGACAGAGCATGAGTGGGGGAGGGGCAGAGAGAGAGAGGGAGACACAGAATCCGAAGCAAGCTCTGGGCTCTGAGCTGTCCACACAGAGCCCCACACGGGGCTTGAACTCACAAACCCAACGATGAAATCACGACCTGAGCTGAAGTTGGACGCTCAGCCAACTGAGCCACCCAGGGGCCCCTATGCTATATTTTAATATAATTTTTTACATCAATGCTATGTTTAGAAACAAATAATAGCCAAGAGTGACATAAGTCCTGGAGGTGTCCATTGATAACGAAGTGCTTAAAAGAAGCTACTGCTGATAAATGTGAAGGTAAAAGAAACGATTTTTGTGCCTAACCTAATCTTCCATTAGATGGCGCCATTGTCAAAGGTCTGTAGTTTGAAATGGGCAGGGGAAGGACAGGTGGCACCCATTAACTGTTTCTGCCTGCAACCACTTTGTTTTTGTTATTGCTTGCTTTTCTTTTAAGTCACAGGGTGGGGCTGGGGATGGGGGAACAAGTTAAATCTCCCTTCAGCTGTGTCCTACTATTTCAAGCCAGAGAGGTCAATGAAATGAATGCTTATTGAAGGAATTTAGTCATTAGAAGAAACATACAGTCAGATGAATATAAAGACTGACAACTAGGAACGAGTTACTTTCCCTCGGTCCTGTAAAAAATTCACTACTGATAGCCTGATTATCAGAAGCGCAAAGGGCTGTTTGCTCCTTTGGAATTTTCCGTAAATCTGGGCAGACTGGGGATTCCTACTCTTTCACCATCAACAGCCCCTCCATTATTTTCATTCCACAAATCTCATTATTGGGATAATTTTATCCCAAACAGCATTAGCTAAATGTTAATGATTTTTCTATTTTGTATTTATGTGTGTATGGATTTGATTCATTAAAGTTTCTTTTTTTTTTTTTAAATATTTATTTTTGAGAGAGAGAGACAGAGTTCGAACAGGGGAGGAGCAGAGAGAGAGGAAGGCACAGAATCGGAAGCAGGCTCCAGGCTCTGAGCTGTCAGCACAGAGCCCGACGTGGGGCTCGAACCCACGAACTGTGAGATCATGACCTGAGCTGAAGTCGGACACTTAACCGACTGAGCCACCCAGGTGCCCCTGATTAAAGTTTCTAATGGACAGGGAACAACCTTGCCAAGATGATATAATTCCAGCTAAAAACAGGACGAACTTGAGCTGGGTGGTAAGAACAAAGGCCCTTGGGTTGGCCCCTAACCAGCCATGGCACCATGGGTGAGTTACTGTTAGCTGCACTGACATAGGACCGGGCCACAGTGCGTGTAAAATCACTTAGTGCACTATGATAAAGGGCAGTTACTATTACTGGGTTTTTATTCAGCGTGTGTCACTTCATCCACAGGCAGCCTTCCTCTACCTGTGGTTCTGGAGGCGCAGCTTGGAGGGGCAGCAGGCAAGAGACCAACCCTGGAGCTGGGAATGTGTTTGCAGAGAACCAGCGGAAGGGTAAAGTCCTCCTGCCGACTATCCCTGGCTGGCTTCCTCGTGATTTATCGCTATGGAAACTGAGCTCTTTTCCTCTTCGCTGGCGGCTGCTTGGGGGCTTGCTCAGAGCTCAGAAGTTCCTTCCTCTTTCCTGTTGCAGAAATGCCACAGTGACCGTTGTCCAAGAACTGCAGCTCACACCTGAAGAGCTGGATCTTGGGAAAAACAATCTCATTTGATTCCCCAGGGGTTGTGGGGGCCTTCTGGGTAAGCGGAGGCCCGAGAACAATGCAGCCTCCGGGGCTGAACCAGGCCCCCGCTTTTCCCCTTCCTTCAGCTTTCCTAGCTGCGTTTAAAAAATGGACTTTCAGGCAGTCGCAGGTAGTATTGTGTTAATGGCAGAAAACTTAAACTCAAAGTCCCTTTGTGTGGGCAGAGCCTTTCTACAAGGGCCAGGCAGATGTGATCTATGGGCAGCACAGGGTCTCTTCCACGGCAAGTGCCTACCCACTCGCGGAGACCCCCCCACCCCCAAGAGCAATCTGTTCTTGGAGGGTAAGGCTTTGCAGATGGAGGGCAGATGCGGAGGGGGGAGGGGGGAGAGGCAAATGCCTGGGTGATTGGTATTCAGAGGGCAGGCACCCTGTGTCATCACTTCCACATTTACGTGAGTTTCAGGGGTTGTCACCTGGTGCTTGGTGACAGCTGGCTCTGCTGGGGTGGGCCCAGCACTCAGGCCATTCTTCAGAAGCCAGCACCTGGCTCAGAGCACCCTGGCCCTGGTATCACGCACACTGTGCCAGGTTCTTGATGTGAGGGCACAGGGCAGGCGATGAGTGGGGACCCCAGAGACAGTGAAGGAAGCTCCCTGGCCAGGAAGGAGTTCTTGAGACACTGTCAGGCTCATCAGGCCCTTCTGTGGCTGCCCAGGTAAGTCATGGCCAACCTCAGGGGCCGTCTCTGTAAGCCAGCTTAAAGGATGGCATTTTGGCCTTATCTATGGGGGAGGAGGAGACTAAGGACACCTTACATTTATCCTTTCACTGTTCCAGAGGTCCACGTGAGGATAATTTTCTGGTTGCAACTGATCATGAAATTATCTGGGAGGGAGACATCCCACTTAGGAGCTGGGGCATTTTAGTGCATCTCTAGAATAATGTTCAACCCCCCCCCCCCTTTACCTCCTCGAACATCCACGATCTTTCTTAGGTCTCAAAATGTTTCTGTTCACTTTCCACCTAGAATGTCCCATTATTTGGAACATGTTTGTTCCTTGTCACCCTGGGAGAAGATTTCCGAGTTTTTTCCAGGTTGGAAGTAGCGGTGTGAACATTCATGTTTTATTTTTGTCAGTGGAGTGGCCTGAACCCCTAGATCCCAGGAGGGCCCCAGCATTAGGGAGAAGATGGTGACAGACATGGTCTTGCCACATGCCTTCAGAGCAGCTCAGATCACCTCCCTTCCTTGTGAGCCACTGAAGAAGGCCTCTGGAGGAGAGCATCCGGGTTCTCCCTGATTTGCTCTGTGCCGGTGGGACCAGCAGAAATGGAGGACCCTCGGGGCACCTGGTGCTCAGCTGGGCAGTTGGCCCAACTCTTGCTTTCAGCTCAGGTCATCATCTCAAGGTTTTGTGGGTTCAAACCCGGCTCACTCTGCTCCCGGATGCTCCCTTCTGCCCTCCCCCATACTGTCTCTGTCTCAAAATGAATAATTAAACTTAAAAAAAAAAAAGAAATGGAAGGTTTTCACGTAATGCTCAGCTTCCCTGTCACCACCTGGCGTCACTCCACACAAGACCCGGGAGAACTGGAGGGTGGAAGGCCATAGCATATTTTCCTGGAGATTTGCTCAGTTTGTCGTTAATAGTTTGTTCCTTTTTATTGCTGAAGAATATTCCATAGTATGGATATACCGCTGCTTAACCATTCACCCATTGAAGGACATCTGGGCTAATGGCCGCTTTTTTTGGAAAAGTTGGAATTATAAATAATTCCACAGCTCAAAGTAGCACATTCATGTTAGAATATTTGTGTGAACACATGCTTTTTTTTTTTTTTTTTTGAAAGAGAAAGAGAACACCAGCAGGGGAGAGACGAGAGAGAGAGGAAGAGAGAGAACCCCATGCCCAGGCTTCATGCCCAGGGAGGAGCCTGATGCAGGAATTGATCTCACAACTGAGAGATCATGACCTGAGCTGAAATCAAGAGTCAGACACTTAATTGACTGAGCTACCCAGGTGTCCAACATGCTTTTTATTTCTCTGGGCAAATTGGTGTCTTTTTAAACAGCTCTCATTAGATCTCATGGTTCATGAGATCCAGCTTGGGACTCTCTCTCCCTCTCTCTCTGCCCCTCCCCAGCTCATGCTGGCACACGCATGCTCTCTCTCTCTCTCTCAAATAAACATTTGGGGCGCCTGGGTGGCTCAATCGGTTGAGCGTCCGACTTTGGCTCAGGTCATGATCTCACGGTCTGTGAGTTCGAGCCTGCATCGGGCTCTGTGCTGACAGCTCGGAGCCTGGAGCCTGTTTCGGATTCTGTGTGTGTGTCTCTCTCTGCCCCTCCCCTGCTCATGCTCTGTCTCTCTGTCTCTCTGTCAAAAATAAATAAACATTAAAAAAATTAAAAATAAACATTAAAAAAGTAAACAGCTCTAATTAAAGCAGATCATTGAGGTTTGTGAGGGATCCATTTAGAAAGCCCCATGTGTTCTCACATTCTCAATATTAGAAATGTTTACACGGGCTCCCAGCTTGGTCCTAAATCACATGAATCTCATGTCTGTCTATTAGCACTGTTTCCTGTGCATATTCTCATACCCTAACTTGGCTGCCTTTTTTATTTGTATGCATCTATTTATTTTAATTTTGTTTAATCGGGTAGTGAAGTTATAAAGAAACAGGAAACAGCAAGACAGTTGTATAGAACAAATTGAAGGATTACATCCTAGAATAACCTTGGTAAATAAATATTTTATACTCTGTGTTCTTCACCTTTTTCACACTCTGACCCCTTTGGTGTTTGTTCAAAGCCGAAGATTTTCCTATTGTGGGGCATTTCAAGAAGTCCTGAAATGTTTTTCCTCTTCTTCTCCTCCTCCTCCTCCTCCTCTTCCTCCTCCTTCTTCTTTTGATTTTTTTAAAACTAAAAAAAAATAAAATTGTTTTTCAACATTTATTTATTTTTGAGAGAGAGAGAGACAGAGTGCGAGCAGGGGAGGGGCAGAGAGAGAGAGAGACACAGAATCCAAAGCAGGCTCCAGGCTCTGAGCTGTCAGCACAGAGCCCAGCTCAGGGCTTGTACCCATGAACCGCGAGATCATGACCTGAGCCGAAGTTGGACGCTTAACCGACTGAGCCACCCAGGCGCCCCTGAAATGCTTTTCTTCTAGAGGCATTTGTACAAGGAGTTCAGGCCTTGGAGTCAGGCATCCAACACTCCAACAGACTTTACCACTTAAACTGACTGTGGGACCTTGGGCAAGCGTACTAACCTCTCTGAGAGTCTTGTTTGTCTCCTGAAAAACCCCTCTCCAAGTCAATGAGCAGAAACCCCTCTCCAAGTCAATTTAAAATAAGGCAGGGCTTCACTGAAGGTTGTTTGAAGGGGACTTAGAGGGGAGAATCCCACTTCCCAGAGAAAGTCCCAGTACTGAGGCCTTTCCCTCAAAATCAAGTCCAGGCCGGCCCTCTCAAAGTCAACCAATCAGTCTTGCTCACTCCCAGATGGGCTCCTTTCTTCTGGATGTGTGTGGCACATCCAGAACTTTTGTCATTCTGCCACCCTTGCTGGCTCCACATGAGACTTGAGCTCTTAGGCTACATTTTGTTTTTGTTTTTGTTCCTGTCCTGCTTGCTGTTTGAGTGGTCAGACAGATCTGCTCAAGTTTCTACAATGAGGACACAGATGCATGTTCATTGTTGCATGGCCCTTCCTAGCATCCAGCCAGAACTGTGACTACCCCCTCCCCCGCCACAATCAACAGAGGCCACTTAACCACGTTCACAATGACAACAGCTTTCTTCTTTCCTTTCTCTTTGTGTTTAACCTTGGCAATCAGCAGGAACACTGCTCTGACCCACCAGGTGTTGGTTTTGACAAATATTTGCCTTCTTAGTAGCTTATTTATCAGTAAGATGAAGAGATGTTCAACAGGTACACGTTCCCCCTGGAGAGGAGAGTGGCTTACGTGGCCGCTGGAGTCCCCAGGGAACTGGCCTGCACACTTGCTTTCTTGCTGGAGGCTGTGTTGCCCAACGTTGGCCCAGAGGGTACTCCACAGCCCTCTAGAAACATGCCCTCCCTCCCTCAGCTGTCTTTAAAAACCTTCCCAGGGGCGCCTGGGTGGCTCAGTGAGTCGAACGTCCGACTTTGGCTCAGGTCATGATCTCACGGTTCATGGGCTCAAGCCCTGCTTCGGGCTCTGTGCCGACAGCTCAGAGCCTGGAGCCTGCTTCAGTGGTCTCTGGGAACTAAGGTCAGAAGTTTAACGTTGTTTTGTTTTTAATTTTTTTAATGTTTATTTATTCTTGAGAGAGAGAGAGAGAGTGACAGAGCATGAACGAGGGAGGAGCAGAGAGAGAAGGAGACACAGAATCCCAAGCAGGCTCCAGGCTCTGAGCTGTCAGCACAGAGCCCGATGCAGGGCTCGAACCCAGAACTGTGAGATTATGGCCGGAGCCGCTAAATTGGCCGCTTAACTGACTGAGCCGCCCAGACGCTCCTGATTAAAAACTCTCCTGATTTGGGGGCGCCTGGGTGGCGCAGTCGGTTAAGCGTCCGACTTCAGCCAGGTCACGATCTCGCGGTCCGTGAGTTCGAGCCCCGCGTCAGGCTCTGGGCTGATGGCTCAGAGCCTGGAGCCTGTTTCTGATTCTGTGTCTCCCTCTCTCTCTGCCCCTCCCCTGTTCATGCTCTGTCTCTCTCTGTCCCCCAAAAAATAAATAAACGTTGAAAAAAAAAAAAAAACTCTCCTGATTTAATTGTCCCACAAGTCGCAGATTGCACATACTTCTCCACAAGGGCTTCGGGACAGACCTGGCTAGATGTCTTGCTAAAATCGAGGAGCCCTGTACCTACAGGATTTTATGGTTTTGACAATCTAGTGACCTTGACAACAAAAGAAACCAGGTGCAACTGTCATGACTTATTTTTAGAAGAGCCTTGTCGGTTTTCTGGGCATCTCCAACTCTTGCCTGGAAGCCGCAAGTGCTCTCTGCCCAGTCCTGTAAGAGTTCTGATGTGATCTGCACCTGTCTGTTGTCGGTCCTTGCACTGGGCACTCCTCCTGTTCTGCCTACTTCATGACCCAGGCCGTGTCTAACCCTTAACACCTGGCCTGACCCTTCCGGGGCGTGACCTTCACAGGCGGCTCTATCAGGCCTGGCCCAGACTCCCCATCCTCCACCCTTCCCTAAACTCTCAACAGCTGAGGTCTGGGCCCTCGCCATAACTTCATTTATTTCAACAAGGACTTTATTGAAGCTCTATACACTTCTTGATTGAAGTGTGAGCCATCATAACCCACTAGGAAAAGATTGTAGGGGATGCATAGACACAACATGAAGTTTTTACATACCTAAGAAATAATCTGCTGGAGCTTTATGGAGGATAGATGTCACGGCCCCTGTCATCTACGGTTTTAGGATTCCCTATCTCCCCCACCTTTTTTGTTTTTGTTTTCGAAGGAGAGAGAGAGAGAGCATGAGCAGGGGAGGAGCAGAGAGAGAGGGAGACACAGAATTCGAAGCAGGCTCCAGGCTCTACGCTGTTAGCACAGAGCCCGACGCGGGGCTGGAACCCATGAACCGTGAGATCATGACCTGAGCCGAAGTCGGACGCTCAACCGACTGAGCCACCCAGGCGCCCCTCTCCCCCACCTTTTAAACTCAGGCCATTTTTGGGGTTTCAGGTTAGATACTGGAAGAGAACAAGGTTGCCCTTACACTTGCAACACGGGGAGGCCCAGCCCAGGGATAGCACAAACCTGCCTGGCCAAAACAGTGGAGAGGGGAAACCTCTGAGAGGCAATGTGTTAGCAGGAGCTACTAATTGCTGTCAAAGCAGGCGATGGAGGGATCTGCTGAGAACTGAGAACATCCTTGTGGCTCAGCTCACATCGTTCCCGGCTTCTGCTTTCTCCGCAGCTCCCCCAACCAGATTTCCTGTTCAGACCGAGGTGATAGTTGGTCATAAGAAGCCGACCTACACTTCTGCCGGCCCCATGAGAAAGGACAAAGCAACACATGCACACTGGACCGGGAGCCACCCCGGTTGGTAATGTTTTAACTATTTCTAAGTGCTTTTCTCTCTTAGATCCCCAGAGCCTATGTGTACAGAGAACAAACTGTAAAGGGATGCTTGTGAACAGCAGCCGTCAGCCAACATTCCTATATCTCACCTTCTGTGTTTTCTGCTACTTCTCTTCAATCTCTAGTAGTAAAATATTAGGAGAAGGATGGATTTCTAGAGCCTAATGCTGTGGGCTTAAGAAGGCAGTTTGGAGAAATGGCTGCCACCTGTCCCCAGGCAAAATGAGGCTCTGGCACCCATCGAGATGGGAATCTACAGACACTGATGGGGTGACATGAGGAATGGGGACACCGTTCCTGCTGGAAAGTCCCCTAAAAGAGGGGACTACGCACCATGAAAAATGTCTTTAAGTTATAGACAGTGGGCTTAAAACTAATCCCTGCATACAGGCAGCTGCCTGCTGAGTCCCACGTGCAGAGGAGGGAAACTGCCCAGACCTCCCCCTGGATAGGAAGGGGCTCAGAGCTGGGAGCCCGAAGAAACTTGGGGCTCAGTTACAATCTCAGCCTCACTGCCGATAAAGGGCTTGTTGGGGTTGAGCAGGGAACCTAATCAGTGTTTGTCAGACTGCTTGTCGAGTACATTTTGTATTTGCTCAACAGCCAACTTGAAAACAAACTTCTGGATCAAAACCTGATGATAAGCTGGAAACTGCCTGTACTTTAAACCGAAGTCACTCTTTGTATCTAAAATTCGTTTTACTGATCTCTAGATAAACCATGACCATTCCCCCCCTGCCCTGCCACCCCCCACCCCTGCCCCGCGCACACTCCCCAAGAGTTGTTCCTGGCAGGGTAATTTTTCCTTGAACTTAAGATAAACCGATTAGGGTTTCCTCTTAGTTTAGTGAAGTTTACTGCGTCTTGGATAGAAAGGACAACAAAGGAGAGTGAAGACAAAAAAAATATATATTCTCTTATTTATTATTGTTATTGTGACCACTGCTGCCTGGATGGTATTGAGAGTGATCACCCTCTAATGGAGCTATAGTTTGCTAGCATTTCTGGATTTGATCAAGGCACCTATGATATCGTCATGAGGAAGCCTCACGTCCTCATGGAGATGGGTAGGATACATGACGGCAGAGGAAGGGGATTTGTAGCTTGCTGAACATTTATATCAAAAGAATTTTGATTAGGATCAGCCTGGGGCAAATCTGTAGAGTGCTGTAGGGTTGTATCTTCACTCCCCTACTGAGTATTTTTATTAATGACTTGGATGAGAACCCTGCTGACCTTCTGATAAAATCTGTGGATGATCCAGGGGCACCTGGGTGGCTCAGTCGGTGGAGCGTCTGACTCTTGATGTCGGCTCAGGTCACGATCAGGATGAAGCCCCGCATCGGGCTCTGCACTGACAGTGAGGAGCCTGCTCGGGATTCTCTCTGTGGATGATTCAAAACTGGGAAGAAGGAGTCAGAGGATAGTCAATTGTCAAGAAGATGGATAAAGACACTGGTTGTAGAAGTAGATATCGTTTTTCTGCTTAGACTGATGGGGAAAACCAGAGAGAAATACCCAGGGAAGGCCACCTCTGGCCACTTCATTTTCTGTCTTCTGCGGGGAGCTTCTCCCAGCACGCCTGACTCTTTGTTGAACAGTCTGTTGATAAATCAGCCTCCAGACCCCTCGAGGGCAGGGCCAGGACTTTGTCTTTCCTGGTGTTTAGCAGGGTGCCTGCTTGGGATGAGGCCATCCCTCTGCAGGCACATCTTTGCTGTTTCATTAGGTGGGGACTCCTAGAAGACACTGCCCTCCTGGTCCTGGGCCGGGCCTGGAGCAGAGCATTTCTGACCCTCCCTCCCATCTGCAGCCCCACTTAGTGCCTGTTTTGCCTCCTGTCCCCTCAATAACCTGAAAAAGAAACGCATGGGAAACTTCACTGCTTCAGCCCCCTGAACGTTCTAGCGTTTCTGCACCTGACTCTGGTTTGGCATAAGTGTTCCTGAAACAGAGGGGGTCCCGAGTGACGGTTGTCAGGTAAAATGCCGGATGCCCAGGTACATCTGAATTTCAGACAGCCCAAATCATTTTCTAGTCTGTCCTGTGCAATACATGGGACGTACTCCTATTACAAAATGACTTGTTGCTCTTGTGAAATTCAGATGTAAGTCGGGGTCGGGCATTTTTATTTGCTAAATCGGATCAGCCCTACCAGGGCGGCCTCTCAGGATGCCTGGCCCAGCTCATTTCCAACCCAGACCACCACTCACACAAGAGCATGCAGACCCTTCAAACCACCCCTCCCCCCCCACACACGCGCTTCCTCCTTCACTCCGATGGGCTCCTCAGGCCCTGGTCTCCTCAACTGGGGCCTTGGGCCCTCATTTCCTGTGGTTAATGAATTGCTGCATCTTGCCTCATCGGGCTAGGGGCGGACGCTGGCTTTCTATCAGCCCCCACTTAGTCTAGGTCAGCCTGAGGCCAACCATGGAGAGCAAATCCGCTACTGTGGCCCGTGCGTCGCCATCGTACATGATGACTCTTTACAACCCATCTGCGCTTCCAGCACATTCACTCGTTTAGCAAATATGTACGCAGGGCCTCCTACATCACAGGCATTGTGTTGACTGCAGGGACACTGCAGTGAGCCCAACAGACCCACGTCTGTCCTCACAGAGCTGACAGCCCAATAGGGGCGACACCTCTTGAGGCTCACACAGGGACACCTGGGTGGCTCAGTCAGTCAAGCGTCTGACTTTGGCTCAGGTCACGGTCTCATGGTTTGTGAGTTCGAGCCCCGCGTCAGGCTCTGTGGCCGACAGCCCAGAGCCTCGAGCCTACTTCGGATTCTGTGTCTCCCCCTCTCTCTGCCCTTTCCCTGCTTGCACTCTCTCTCTCTCAAATAAATAAACATTAGATAAAACTTTGTAAAAAATAACAGTTTGTGGAGATGTATTTCACACACCATACCATTTAACTGTTTATAGTGTACAATTCAGTGGTCTTTAGTCTATTGACAGAATTGTGCAACTATCATCACACTCAACTTTTGGAACTTATTTTTTTAAGTAGGCTCCACGTCCGGCACAGAGCCCAATGCGGGGCTTGAACTCACAACCCTGAGATCAAGACCTGAGCAGAGACCAAGACTTGGATGCTTAACCAGCTGAACCACCCAGGTGCCCCATCTTTGAGAACTTTGTAATCCTTCCTACGAAGAACCCTCATACCCATTCAGAGTCACTCTTACTTCCCTTAACTCCCCCCGCCTTAGGAAACTACTAAGCTACTTCTCTCTGTATATAGATTTGCCTACTTTGGACATTTCATATAAATAGAATCATATACATGTGGCCTTTCATGTTTGGTTTCTTTCACTTACCATGACGTTTTCAAGGTTCATCCATACTGTAGCAGGTATCAATCCTTCATTCTTTTTTCTGCCAAATAATATTCTATTGTATGGATACATCACTTTTATTTATCCGTTCGTCAGTTGATAGACATTTGAGTTCCCCCTGCCTTTTAGGTATTATTCGTAATGCTGCTGTAAACGTCCGCATACAAGTATTTGTGTAAGCGTGTTTTCATTTCCTTTGGGTATATATACCTAAGAATGGAATTGCTGCTGGATCATTTGGCAATTCTAGTTTTTAAGCTTTCCAACGTGGATATATCATTTTACAATCCCACCAGCAATGTCTGAGGGGTTCTAGTATCTCCATCCTCACCAACATTTATTATTATCTGTCTTTTTTTTTTCTTTTTTTTTTT